AAACGCTCCGCTCGACCTCGACAGTCGACGCTCGTATTGTTTACTAATCGTTTTGTTTAGCAAACGTACAGTTACTGAGTTACGTACACCTACACATTACAGTGTGGTATCAGGTATCTGCTGAAAGACGTTTTTCGTCATTTAAACGACTGAAAACCTACATAAGGAATAAAATGTAAGACCGTTTATCTGGTCTTGCATTATTAAATGTGCATTTTATAAAACGTACGTTTTCCCAGGGGGGGCGACGGCACCTCCTGGCCCCTCTCTGGCGGCGCCCTTGTGTAATAGTATATTATTCCATGAGCATGTAATGGTGGCTATTACTCATGAGAATGTGTTTGCGGCACGAGCCGATGGCGAGTGCCGTAATTCTTTCGAATGAGTAATAGCCATTACATGCGAATAGAATACTATACTTTTTCTACGAATATTTGGCAAAATTTAATGAAAATATTGAAACTTGACGTTTGTTACCAAACCAATTGCAGTTGAGTTATTTTATAAATATTTAAAGTTGGTCATACTGTGACAGTGTGACAATTGAGATGATATCAGAGATGTCAAAAGGTTGCCAAGCTTTCGTTTCTCATTTCTTAAAATTTGATCGTTTAAATTGTGGGTTTATTGCTATATGTAATTATAGCTAATCGCCTAAACATTGAATAATGCGGGTACTACCAAAACTACGACAAAATAACAGGCATGTGCGACTTACGAGTTACGAAGTAACAGAATTTGTACGAATGCTTAACCTCACTTCCTATTTTTACACTTTGAACTCGACTTTGAAGATCCTTTTGTAAGTAGTAAGTAGTTGTCTTTTAGGTCGAGAAAATGCGAGTGAAATATTCAAATTTTCATATTTATATTTAGCTTAGATCGATCTAAGATATTTAGACTTTTCCGGCTATAAATTTAAACATAATTTTTTTGCCGTTTCTGTTATATTTGGCGGCGGCGTACAACTTCATTATTTTCATTTTCGCTATCCATCTTGACACTTTCAAATTCGATGCGTCGGCAATACAGTGATCTTTTCCTTTGAGTTCAATTCAGCAACTTAATTTATATTAAAAACGGTCTAAATTAGCATGGGATGTTTTATTTAATTTAATATTGATTTTCAATTATACAATTTTGCATTCACATTTTTGTTTTTTGTGTTATTAAATCTAATTCTTAGATTTGGGCAAGTCCTATATTTCGATACAAAGGGAAGTTACAACCAGATAAATTGACAGATCGATTCTTTGTTTTTTATGAATCTTTCTCATTGGCTGGCTGCGGTGAGTTTTTTTAAAGCCATGCCCAGTGATTAATTATTACTCACTGCTGTTATCCAATAATGTGAAGAATTTATACTCTTACTTCATAAAATTGGAACGTTTAATGTATTCATTAACCCATATGAGTAGAAAAACATTATTTATTAGCTCTAATATTTGTGTACATTTTGAACGAGGCGTAGTTTATAAATTACTAGTCGACCCCGGCAGACGTTGTACTGCCTCTACGCACATCTACAATATATAAAAATGAATGCATGTAGTCCAGAATCGTACTGGGGATCTTAGCTACTCATTGACGCACCCCCGGAGCTCGTCGTCTTCATCAACACGCTTTGTCTTTTCCCAGTTCTTCAACAAGTGAAAATCACTCGGTGCTAGGTCGGGACTGTAGGGTGGATGTGGGAAATTTCCCATTTGTATGAGTCAAGAAGCTGTGCAGTTCGGATTTGCCCTACAGTTACGACCTAGCACCGAGTGATTTTCACTTGTTCTCGAAGATGAAGAACTGGGAAAAGACAAAGCGTGTTGATGAAGACGACGAGCTCCGGGGGTGCGTCACTGAGTAGCCGAGATCGCCGGCGGCGGATTTCTATGAAGAAAGAATTTCGAAGCCTGTTTACCGCTACGATAAGTGCCTCGCCTGTTTGGTGACTATGTAGAAAAGTAGTATTTTAGCCACTCTTTCAGATGCATATCATAAAATATTTTTCCTGTACCTAGTTTTTGTTTTATTACAAAACGTGCCCTACTTTCTGTATAGCCCTCGTATAAATAGTGAATATGAACAATGTACTAATTTGAATTCAAAAAATGGCGGGAGCGGGAATAACGTGTTAAGTCCGACTACAAACACGGAGTGGCGCTGCATCTTTTTGAACGTAATTTTGTACGTGTGTTACCCATCTATATAACCAACACTTACCTAACCTAACGTCCCTTGTCTATGGACCTACCTTAAGTTTAGGAGAACATGTAAAGGTGGTTGAAAATTACATTTTAAAATGGTACATTTGGTTATCAATATGCTGTAAAACGTGTTAAAAACGAGTCTAGAATATAGTTATACTTACGGGAAAAATTACTAATTAATAACATGGGAAACAATAACAATATTAACAATTTAAAAAACTTTTTGTCCTCACATATTATAAAACAATTGATTAAATTAAAGAAATTAGAGGAGACGAGATGGACACAGCCATCTTGACAAGCAAAGTGAAATGTGCTAACTCAGGGTGCGGTCAAAAACTTACTACCCAGATGGACCTGAAACTACTTTTTTTTTAAATCCATATTTTTTTTAGATATATATGCTACAGTTAGCTTATTGACTCAAACTTAATTGAAAATTTTTTTTAAATTGTTTGTTTGTTATGAGGCGTTCCGTTTACGGAACAGTAGGACTTTCAGCTACTGAATTTGTAAAAATATTACATTTCAATAAAATATACTTTATTTAGACAAAGTAAAGTTAGACATAAATAAAACTATAAGAACTCAAAGATGGCAATCTAAAAGTATTATACAGAAGTATGGTAATCGACAAAACATTGTTTAGGGTGTAACGCCACTTCACATTTAATGCACTTGAAATATGAATTTTTATGACACAGTCCACACCTTGTTTGTTTGTCCTGATATACAATTAGGTGATCCATCCGATCAAATTTTGAATATTCGTGTAGGTTCTGAGCTGATTTGGATGGACCTCTTTTTTTTAGTTTTTCTATAACTTTCCAAAATGCCCGTTGCCACAATTCTTCTAAAGGCTAATTGATCTAATTTTCCACCATTTATGCGATGTAATTGCCAAGCATTTTGAAGAACCATGTCTACACAATGGGCAAATAATGGAAAGTACCATTTCTTGCCACGTATGCTAACCCTAAGCAAGCTAATGTTTTGGTCAGATCTATCGACTCCGCCCATGTTATCGTTATACTTTTGAAATAAATAAGGTTGGTCAATATATACATGCTTCTTTTCTTTTCTAGAATATCTCTTCACTTTATTGAGAGGCAACACGGGCAATGCATTTGACGCTATAGAAACAACACTGTTGTCGTTCCACTTGCAAGCAATTATTGCGTTATTTCCCAATTTACGTCGGTAAGTTCCTCTTTCCATCTTCTGCACTTCTTTATTAGATTCCATTGGACATTCAGGTAACCTGTTTTCCCTAACAGTGCCTGTTCCTTTGATATTTCTGTTTTTTAGTTCCTGCAATAGCAGAATCGAGGTAAAAAAATTATCAAAAAAAAAGTGATATGATTGAGAACTCTGATTTTGTAAAATGTCAGCATACTGCAAAACCACGCTGGCCCCTAAACCCAAATTTCTGTATTTCTCTGGCAAAACCGTAGTTGAGCCTTGATACGGATCAAAAAATACTATATATCCTAATTTGGTCGTCCCAGCCCACAACTTATAGCCCCATCGAATGGGCTTTCCTCTAATAAATTGTTTGCAGGAGTGACGACCAAAGTAGGGTACCATGGCTTCATCGACACTGTGGAATTCTTGTTGTGGTGCAAACTCCTGAAATTTTCTATTTAGAGCTTCAAATAATGGTCTCATTTTAGAAAATTTATCTCCTTTATCCAAATTATTATTATTGTTGCAGTGTAAATTGGACATGATAAACTGAAATTTGTCTCGTGACATTGCTTCAGAAATTAATTTGTTATTCGCGTCTTCCGCGTTTTGCCAATACATTCTTCTGCGACTAACTATGTTGTATCCACTAACCATTAAAATTCAAAGGTAACTCATCATTTCCTCAGTCGTAATTGTCTGCGTTCTATTCTTTTGAGCGGCGTAAGTGTTACTATAATTAACAAGCATCTGAATAATATCATCAAAAAAATATTTGAATAAATCAACTGGATGAACATCGTTTAACGGGCCTAATACTTCATGCCACTCAGGAAAATTAGAATTCAAATCGGCGTCATTCCAATTGAAAGTTGTCTTAGCTTTTTTGGCTTTTGTTGCTGTAACCCGTTTTCCTGTGTTGTTCATAAAAGATGACAGAGGCAAATTGTCCTCCCTATCCCAATCGTCATTGTCACTGACATCTAGATCAATGTTTACATTGACCTCTGCATCAACATTTCCATCAAAGTCGTCATAGGAAACACTCGCTTCTGCACGTAACTGGCTTCCCGGTAAATTATTGAGGGTAACCATATCCTCCTCTCCAGAATCCTCGTCTGTATTAGCCTCGTTAGCATTTTCTGGTGGTAATAATATAATGCTATCTGGCAGTACAGGTATCGACTGCGGATTTTCTAGTTCTTCCAGCAGTTCATGCAGTGCCAACGGACGATGAAAACTATAGCCAAAGAAAGTAAAAATATAGAAAGTGCGGCGTTTATAGTCCTACCGTTCCGTTAACGGAACAGTTAAAATTGGAGGGGAAACTGAGCATGCCAAATTAGGTTAGCACAGTGTATCCCACAATATTGGAATGATTAATGCTTTTAAAAACAAAATTAATCCCGTCACTATTGATATTATAAATAACAACAATATACTTACTCCCACCAACTCATGGTGTGTGTAACGTTGTAATTATTCTAAGTTAGTCAGTACGAATTTCCCTTGTTACGGCACTGGCGGGGGAGAATGCGAGGTAACCTTCAATTGTTAGTTTTGACGATGGTGGGTTTCGGCATTGGTACCTGCGCGATTGGCGGGGCGAGGAAAGTTCGTGCGTGTCTTACTTTCTTTTCGTTGCTCGTTTTGGGAAGACGCAAAAGTGTCGGTTGAATATTAGTTCGCTGGTGTAATGTCGTAAAAGATTGGTTTCCGTCATCTATTGAAGTATTACCTTTCACGGAATCATCTTATTAAACTATGGATTGATAGTTTTTTTTTGGTTAATCAATATCGTAGTGAACTTTTTTGAGAGGCTTTTAAACGAATTACCAGCGAAACTATGTAAGTAGATATACGGGATTAATATCTCGGCCATTATAATGTTCATTTTTAGTGACCGTATCTTCCTGATCGTTATTAATTATCATACAACGTCAATCTTTCCAATAGACCTTCTTTAATAAGAGGTAAAGAGGGTTATGCGTACTAAAATGCACCGTTTTAAACAATCGCTTTTTAGGGTCCTTGTATCCCGTGTAAATTTGCACATTAACATATGTCACCGGAGGGACGTCCATTTTGAATTATTACCAACAGATGCCTTCATCTGAATACACATTCAGCAGTAATCAGCCGTTTGGAACCATGAGATAGAATACATGACCTATATCTGAGCTTATCACCGTCGACATAATTACTTAGCCTATATCAATTATCTGACCAGTTTTGGGGAAATTTTCCCTATTTTAAATTTAACTGTAAGCGTAATTCTGGTTAACGATCTTTCGATTAATGCCGACATAATTGGCTCTGATTATTGTTTTTGCATTTGAGATCTCCTTCGGAGACATGATTTAATATTGGTTTGTCCTATTACGATCGTGGGAAGTACCGCAAGTGGTAAGCCCCTCAGGCACCGTTAAGTACCTCACTGTAGCATTTTTGATTCACCGAGGCATTCTCGGTTAATTTGTCCTTTTATTCTTTATTATAGCTACTAGGTTGAACATTCTTGGGATGAGCTCACTCCACGAATGCCTTCGGAACTACAGGTAAGAATAATACCTTCTCTTTATATACTTGTGTGTTCGCCACCTCGTTTTGGGGTGGTCAGGTACTCACTGATTATATTATTGTTGTGCCGCTACTGTTACACTTCCTTATTCCGGTAACAGTCAGTGTATAATATTCCAGGTAATAAGGTGGCGCCCTTACTGCTTTGCTCTAGCATACCTAATTATTAGATGAGAGGAACGGAATTCAGTGCCCGCAGAGACCGAACGATACCTAATGACCCTTGAGTGCTCAAGCTTACCCCGATTAATAGTCACCCCTGAGCTAGTTGGCCGATTAGCGGCGGGTTTGAGCAAATTCACCGTTATATGTGCACAACAAAAAAATGTGGTCACGTTTGAACAAAATAACACGCACGAAATCAACTTGAAATCACTAATAAGTCAATTCTAACTTTACACATTATTGCTTCTAACAGTATCCATATTGCCATCTAGGCTTTAGTAAAGGAAATACAACGGTAAACAAGATTTCTGTAAACGTTCCTTTTAAGGAACGGTTGGTCCATGTGGGTTTTAAATTACTACGTTTACCAAAGGTTCGCAAAACATCGGTCATAAATTTACTCCTGCAGCACTTCAATTGCTTTCAAATTATAACTGCGCATGCGTCGGGTTTTACTATCGTTACTCATTTTACTGCTCTTGGATACGTGGTGTAAACGCAGTAAACGAAGTAAAGTTTGAATTTTTTAAAAACGCGGGAAAGTAGTACGTGCATTTAGTACTTACGCGCACAATTTTTAAAGACAAAACTTTATTCCCCACCTCTGTAGTCCTGCGCATCCAGACGAGCTCCGCAAGCCCCTTCATTGTGTTTTTTGTGCTGATCGCGCGTAGTTCGTTCCTTTTTGTACTGCGAAGTTAGGTTTTCTTTGTTCTCCTGGCTATTCTTTCGCTGCGGCGTAAGTACATGCTTGCTATAATTAAATCTCTCTCTTAGCCTATGCCGACGGAGCTCGGCGGGTTCCTTATTTTTCTTTTTCTCTAGAATGGGCAAGGACAAACACAAGAGGAGGGAGCGTTCATCGAGTCATTTAGATCCGCAGGACCTTGTGGCTCGACTGGCTAAGCTGGAAAGGAAGTTGAAAAAGCGTAAACGTAAATCTCCGGCGAGCAGCCGTTCATCTACTGTTTCTCCTGCTCGAGAGCATGCAGCTTCGGGCGGAGCGGAGGGCTCGGTGTGCAACCAGTCCCGTTCACGTCGATCGCGCCGGGACAAGCGGCTTCGACGTTCGAGATCTCCGTTGCTTAGCACGGTTTCGATTACCTCGGGAACGGCGCCTACAAGGCGGCGAGAGCTTTGCTCGCTCTCCGAATCTCCTTCCTCTCACAGCGCAGCGGTAGATTTTGACAAAGGGACCGATGGGGGTCAACAATCCCCGGACGCTACTCGCCCTTTGTCGCCGGCGAGAATGCCTTTGAAGGAGCGTGCAGGGACGAGCGATGATCCCTTAGACGAGGATATTTTAGACATCTCGACGGAAGCTCTTCCGGAGGATATTTTAGATATTTTGGGGGAAATCCTGGAAAAGGAATTAATAATAGTTTTTTGGTACATGAGGAGTTGGCTTCTAGATGGCGCCACTTTCTAGTAGACGGATTACCAAAAGGGGACGTTTCGTATCTTTTAAGTAAATTCGACTACCCTATTAATGTGCCGAATCTTGAACCCCCCAAACTTAACCCGGAAGTTGCCTCTATTTTAGAGAAATCAAACCGGGTAAGGGACAACTCTTATTTAGAGCTGCAGTTGCACTTGGCCAAATCTATTTGCGCCTTAGGACAAGCCATGAATTCAGTCTTGAATTCGTCTAAGAATTTGCCCTTGTACCTTAGGAGCGAGATCTTGACGCCCTTGAGCGCCTGCGGAAAAATTAATACAAATTTATTCAGTCGTATTTCAACGATACGGCGCAATATAATAATGCCCTTGTTAAATAAGAACGTTAAGGGCGAGGTGGAGAGAACTAAACCAACGGACCTCCTTTTTGGCTCGGATTTATCCGAAAAAGTTAAACTGGCCAAATCTTTAGAGTGTACGAGTAAAGAATTAAAAGTCTCAAAAGCTTCAGCGACGAAAGCTTCGTCGGGACGAAAATTCCCGCAAAACAAGTGGGGAGGCGCTTTTAATTCTGGTCTGGGAGCAGGAGCCCAGCGGCAGAATTTAAACCCACATCGCCCGCCCGGTCGCATGGGCGAGACGCGGCATTTCAAAGGGCAAGCCTCGAAGTCATCTCGAACCCAATACCCAAAGTTCAACCCAAACGCGACGGACAGACGGAGGAAGATGTAGTGTGTCCAGTAAGTATACCCTTAGCGTATGCCGGTCGTCTAAGTTTTTTTTACGAAGAGTGGAAAGCTATTACTTCTAACCCAACTATTTTAGACTGGGTACGAGGGTATCACTTACCTTTTGTAAGCACCCCTTTTCAGTCCGTTGCCCCGGCGGCCAGCAGTTTTAGCTCAGCTGGAGAGCAACTTATGCGACAGGAAATATATTCACTTTTAAGAATAGGGGCCATTAGGCAATGTTCGCCCTCTCCCGGACAGTTCTTATCTAGAACTTTCCTGACCGACAAACCAAATGGCAGAAAGAGGTTCATTTTAAATCTCAAACATTTAAACAAATTTATAACAGCTCCTCACTTTAAATTAGAGGATACACGAACGGCCATTAGGCTGATTCATGTCACAAATGATAAATACAATGAGAATTGGGAAACATAAAAAACTTATTCCATTTCAAAAAGGAATATTGTTAACAAATAGATCATTGGCAGAAATGTTTGATTATTTACAAGAGGAATGTAGGGTTGAGTATATTTTAACATCTCGCCTTAACCAAGATGTTCGAGAAAATTTTTTTCGGACATTAGGAGTATGGGTGGAGCAACTGACCATCCTTCTCCTTTCGACTTCAAATATCGTTTGAGATGGTTTATAATACGTAAACATTCGGCAGCAGTCTTTACAGAAAATAGACACACCGAGGAAAATGATGAAAAATGTTTACTTAATATTACAGGAAGATCGAGCAAGGCCGTAAAAAATATCACATTATCTAATGAAGATACATGTTTAACGCAAAACTTCGTTTCTTCACTTAAATTAACTAGCAATTTGCAGGAGCAGGGTGACTGCGAAGATGACACATTTGTTTCCAATTTATTTGAGCAATCGCAGTACTTGGATGAAGAAGCTGTAGACGAAGAAATGCTGCAACTCATAGACAAGTTTGAACTCTAGCAAAAAGATAACGATGAATCTTTAAAATATTTTGCAGGCTACGTAGCTTACAGGTACAAAAATAAATATTCTTTGGGTGTTCCTACACAAAACGTACAACCGGATAACAAAATACCTGAGTGGTTACAGTCTATTTCTATAGGATTTTTATGTTAGCCGAACAAGCTGAGCAGAGATTAATCTCCGAGAAATCTAAAGTAGCGTATTGCAAGGAGTATGAAAAATTTTCCAACTGGATGCTCGAAAAAAAATACACGGTAGTAAATGAAACCCTTATGCGTGCCTACATGAATACAATGGTAAGTAATAGTACATTATTTAAACATTTAAACGCAATTCTGTATTTCATGATAGTCAACTACCTACAAATCGTACCAAAAATAACTTTTTACCCGAACGACAAACAACCCTAATCTGAATTTTAAATACGAACATTTTGACCTGCTTATGCGTTTCCCTGAATTTGCCTCACGTTCTTGGGCGCCAATTAATAATGCTGTGTGCCCCACGTTGGGCGCCAATTAATAATGCTGTGTGCACCGGTCCGTAGGCCAAGAAGACCGTACACAAAACACCTACACAAACCTAGCTAGCTCAAACCTTATCCTTCACGGAACAAAACTTCTCTCCAGCACAGAGGAGAAATTCGACTCTGCTCTCAGTTAAAATTATTAACTTCTACCAGATAGTGGGTTAGACCAAATACCTTAAATTCCAAATCGATCTTAAGAATTTTGATTAAATAAAATGGACCTTGGGCAAGCGTCCAAAGGAAACAGTAAATTAAAGATAATGAAATCGTTGGAATGACATACACAGAAATTAATGTGAGAATTACAAATTTCAGTTTTAATGGTCTCACACACACAATGAAAATAAGACAACAAGAAAAACAAACTATTACAAAGAAAACTAAAATTAAAACTTAGCTACTTAGGTTAGGTACATGTCCAGGACTTCTAATTCAAATACGGTACACAAAAACAACAAATTTCAAAATTTAACAAAAACACTAAAGTCGGCGCCGACCACACCTTTATTGAAGGCCCAAACTTCCAAATATGCCTCGAAAAAAAATGCCGCAACACAAACTTGCCGCGAACTCGGCTTGTTACTCCGTAAAACGGAAACTCTACTAACTTCCAATGCTGGTTGGCTTCTACACAAAACAAACTACGGTGGTAACTCGCACGAAACAAAAAAATTTCTTCAATGTGAAGTAATAACGGCCCTGACTGGCAACCAAACTGACGATAAAACTTCAAGACTCCACTGATTTCAAATATTAAACAAACGTAGTTCCGCTCTGAACTTGGCGAAAAGCCGAATAACTTCTTCAAAGAAACGTAGTTCTGCCTTGACTGTGGCAAAAAGCCCTTCCTCTTCTCAGTCCGTTCTACAGACATTAAGAGATAACACAAAATTAAAATACTAGGAAAAATAGAATTTTCTTTCTTTTAAATACAATGAAAATAACAAATCCACCTGTCAATTAAATTAAACGTTTACAATTGATAACGGAATAAAAGCGATAAAATTCTCAGAAATCTACGTTAAATAAAATTAAAGATGAGATTCGATTCCCTGCGTCGGAATTACTTTTTTCTAAGATAATATTTTTCGGTTATAATATAACAACTAATAAGTAACACATTCCACGTGCATAGAAAATTCGGAACCGTTATTTTTCGAAATTTTGGATTTTTTGTCTTGGACAATATTGTTCTCGCAATTCCAGTGCGGTGTGCGGGGTTGATTTGCGATTTGTTTTTTCGCTATCTCGAACCGTTACGGAGTTATTTCGAAAAAACACGTTTTAACGCCTTTAAATGCGTTAAAGCTGCATTTGTCCATATAAGTAATAAGATTCTGAACTTTAATGGCATTGTGTACAGCACATTTTTTTCGACAAAATTCGCGATTATAGGAGAACGCGAAGGGTGAGATCGATGCGGTTTTTTACGTTGGTCTCGTATTTGTGTCCTACGACTTGAGAACCGACACTCACGCCCCCCTCCCTCTCACCCCCTCGCCATGCAAATAAATTGTATTTATTATTTCGGGTTATTTTTGGTGTTAAGTCCTTCTAACAAATGCAAATAACATGCACTCTTCAAAAATGGCCCCGCGCATGCGCATAGCGCAACTTTCTTATTTATGGAGCGATTTTCATGAAATTTTGGTTATAGGTCCTTCTAACAAATGCACTTTTCAAAAATGGTAATGTGCATGCGCAATGCGCACTTTTCTTATTTACGGAGCGATTTGCCTGACATTTTGGTTATATGTCCTTCTAACCAATGCAAATAAAATGCACTTTTGAAAAATGGTAATGGGGGCAAACGGTCCGTCGGAAATGGGTACCGACAATGGCGAACTGGAGGTTCTCGATGAGATCTCTCAGGTGGCGGAACCCAAACTTCCAATGCGAAAACGTAATATCCTCTAGCGTAGTCTTAAAATGAGACACATTTTATAAATTAAATATCTGCTTTTGCACCGAATTCCCCGTTTCGGCTGGTGTAACCAAAACGGAGTTGGGGGGAAAACATGTTTGATGCATGCGTAGAAGTAACTTTCTTATAAGCCAATCTTGTTACCCTTTTTTTACATATTATTCTGTTACACCCTGTATATATGTTCAGTAATGTAATCTTTTTGTGCCAAATTTTATTCCCTGGTATTTATACCTATTTAGTGCGACCAATTAAAAAACCTGGTATATCTTTCAGTTTCCAATGTTCTCACGTAAGTGGTATTCAATACAAATCAATTGGTAATAATTCATTATCTTTAAGTGATTTTACCGGTAAACTCAAATTCAATGCTCATGTCTTTTTTACAACCTTCATATCAAAAGGTAAACAAGTGAGCACAACAATGCGCTTATGGAACTTTACACGTCTACATCTAACGATATTAAATGCATTTCAATTGTATCTTTACAAATGGCACTTTTGTTATACAGGCCACTTCGTAGGGCACAACGACTAGTTACCTTAGCTCAAAAGAAAACACAGGAAAATGAATTGCAAATCGAGGAACAAGAACGGCAAAAAGAAGGTAAGAAAAACTGATATCTTTAACAACACATGGCTATTATTGTCAACTTAATACAGGAGCCAACTTAGCTGTAAAGTACGTCCTATCAACAAATTGTTATTATCGCTATAATAGCATGGTTACTGTCATAGTTACCAAATAACAATCCATAATATGCGAGTGTCAATAGCGAACCAATCAATCTCACTAAACATTATCAACTAAGCCATGTTTCGATAAAGCTGTCTATTTAATACGGGTATTAACGCAGTCACAATATTTCTGACTACCTTAATATTCTTATTAAATAGTAAATCTGTAAATATATTTCTTTATTCGTACGTAAAGAAAAATTAATAATATTCATGTGTTTAATACATAAAGACGAGGAGTGCAAAAGCAGCTCTGCTGTATCACTGGATGGTTCCTTTGAGCTGGATTCTGACGATTCGCTAAAAGATCCATATTACTTGCCGAATAATGCAGAAACAGAAAGTAGTTCTTTATTTCAAATATAGATGAGGTGAGTAACCGAACAGCACACACGTATCTTTCATAACGTTTAATGAATACTGCGTATTAATTAATTGTAAATATATCACAAATATTTTCTGGTTTAATTACATTAAACAAACAAGCAACTTATGTCATTAATAGGAAAATTAATAATTCAAACATGTTTTGTGGCTTATAGGAATCTGGAAACAAGAAAATAAATATAATCAGCGATATAATCATTACGCCATCCCACTTAGATCGCCATGTAAGTACTACTAATTTTTAATAATATAATAGAATACAGAACACGATTTTCTTACTGTCTTCTGCCTATTGGACTATACCGCAACATTTTTATGTAGTGTAAAAAACAGAAATGCGTTTTCCAAAACCCGCAGTTCATTCTGTAAACAAAACATTCTGTAAATAAAATAAATAAAATTAATAAAATAAATAAAACACATACTTACCTCTTACAGTACATTAATTTTTTAGAACCTGGAAAGAAAACAAGTCAGCAATTTAGAGTCCACTTCTGCAGTGAGTTCGCTAACATTATATTATGTATTGCCCTATAATATACTTATTATCTTTCCAGTCGCCTGAAAATAAAAATTCGCTTACGCAAGATACCCAATTTTCACATTTAGTTCCCGCTCCGAGTCATGTAAGTTAACCGTGTTTTCTGTTGTTTTTTGTATTTAATTTTCTACTGCTTTAGTCATCTATTAACTGCATAACCAAAAAAAAGAAAAGAACGACGTGTCAATACTGTCAATCAGAAGTCACAAATTTTGAACGTCATTTAGAGAGAAACCATGCCGACGAAAAGGGAGTTCGAAACTTTTTGTCATACCCTAAAAAACATTCTGAAAGGAAAAAAATTATTAATTTAATTCGCAACTCCGGACATTTCTCAGAATACATCAAAGGTAACGTGATACCAAAATATCAATATCAAACCAAACATAAAGTATATTTTCCTTGCTCGCGCTGTAAGGCGCTATTGACGAAACAATACTTATCACGGCATAAGAAAACATGCATCGTTAAAGACGTACTGAATGGTAAAAAAAATCAATTATCGGAATCGCAGACGTTAATAGCATCAGTTTTGGACCAAAACAATACTCTGTCGAAGTTGAGAGTTAAGGAAGAGGTATTCTCTCGAATGAAAGCAGACATAGTATCATTGGTAGCTAAAACCGATAGTTTAATTTTTTGCTTCGGTGAGAATTATCTTAAAAAACATAAACGCGAACAACTCATTTCAGTATGCTCAAATAAGATGCGAGAATTGGCCAGATTTGTTTTAGAGTTTAGAAAAAGGACCAATAATTCCCGCATTAATATATTTTGAAGCCGAAATTCTTTGATATTGCAATCGATTGCGCAAAGAATGTTGGAGGGTATGATGCCGAGAAAAAGACATTTCGTGCGGCAAGTTTGTCAGCTCGTCTAGGTACATTATTAAAGTAAGTATGTGAGATATACATTGTTTAATCTCGGTATGAGATTAAGATAGTTTTGGGGTAGATTGTAATGCGGCACCCGTCACTGTGCCAAATTGTAGACTTGGAACCTTACACCCCAAATGAGTAAGAACAGCCTAAGCTATAATACTAGTTTATTCATAATATTTACACGTTTATATACAAAATTATTGTCCTAGTTCTACCATTTGTTTACCTAGCTCAGCGATACTATTATTCTATTATTTGCATTTTCTTGCCTTACTCAATTGACCTGCTTTATCTATGCATAATAATGATGTCTTAATACCTACTTATTACATGAATTACTTAATATTGTTTAATTCTAGATTAATCCCAGATTAATCTGTGATTAAACATACATTAGACTTCTTCTAAAAGAAGACAGATGGGTTGCATGTGCTAATAAGGAGGAGTGTTTGAAAGACGCTAAACAATTTAAAGAACTGATCGATTCGCAATGGACAACATCCAGTTTAGCTTTCAAAGTTCTCCATGAAAAGCAATGGCAAAAACCGACAATTCTACCCTTAACAAAGGACATTTTAAAATTTAAGGAGTACGTTACTAATGTCGCAAATAAAGCTATGGCGATTCTCAAAACGAATCCAAACAACAAAAAAGAATTAAGAAATTTAATTGAGGCTTCACTGGTGTTGACTATATTGTTCAATAGGAAAAGAATTGGAGATGTTCAATATACACACCTTAAAACATACACCGACAGTATAAAAACTCTTACTCAAGAAGAATGCGTAGATGCATTGTCAGAGTCCGAAAAGTTGCTTACTAAACATTACAAAAGAATTGTGACAGGTGGGAAGGGGAGTAGGCCTATAGCTATTTTATTTCCCTTAAATTTACAAACGTATATAGATTTCTTTTTAAAAATACGAATGGAAGGTAGTTTGATTCCACAAAGCAATCCCTATTTATTTGGATGTCCAGATAAAGATACATGGACAAGTGGAGATGTAGTTTTCCGAAAATTTGCAGGCAAGGCAGATTTAGAATTTCCCACCTGCGTTTCATCAAATAAATTGAGAACGCAAATAGCCACGGTAATGCAAATTTTAAATTTAAATAAGGAGGAGACTGAACAATTTGCACAGTTTATGGGACACACTGAAAAAACTCATAATCAATTTATAAGTTTCGTCTTTTCAATAACAACATACTCACCTATTTCTCCTTTCTTAGATTACCCCAGGATTTGTATCAAACAGCCAAAATCTCAAAACTGTTACTACTAGTGGATAAAGGTGTAAATGCATATAAAGGTAAATCACTGTGTGAAATCGATATTGATCCTCAAAATGAATTGGCAGAAGAGTCGGATCAGGATGAAGCGCCTCCACCAGCGCCATTACCTTCTATCTGTGTTGTGCAAGGTATGTACTAAATCAATATCATAGTGCTAAAAAGCAAGAAATGGTTCTCATGTTACACCAAATAACGCTGTTACTTTTCTAATAATTCATAACCTTAACCACGGATTTGCTTTTTTTTTTAAAAAAAAGTGTTCAATTCAGAATCATTGAAAATTTTTCTTGTTGAAATATGCTTTACTCTTAGATGAACCGGAAGAACATCCAAAGACAACAAAATTAAGTGGCAGAGTGCCATGGTCTAATGAAGAATCGGCACTAGTGAGGAAACATTTTCGAAAGCATATTCAATTAAAGAAAGCTCCTAAGAAAGGTGAATGCTTGGAATTTTTGGAAAAATATCGTGCTAAATTTCAAAATAAAGATTGGGTACGAGTGAAAACATTTGTTTACAATTCCTATAGACTAGAGAGTAGTTTTAGGTCAGCCCTTGGGCCTCCACGGCACCCTTATCCTCCGTGTGCAAAACTCACTCAATTTTAATAAATTAATTTTAAATTGCAACTTGTATTATTCGTATACCGCGCCATTGACCAAATAAAAGCGAATTTTTCGAACTGTGGGGCACTTTTCGGAAAACGACAGGTAGAGGGTTTTAGGTGAGCCCTTGGGCCACCACGGAGCCCAAATCCTCCTTACCCACTTGCGCAATTTGTCAACTTCGGGGACGAATTTGTCGAGGTTCCAAAAAGGGGATGAAAATTGCTCCCATCACTTTTCGGTTGATCGTCGATTTAACAAAAAACGAATGTAACTTCAGCCCTGCCCTAGTTTCCCCCCCCCCCCCAGGTTGGTTATATATAATCCAAACGTGTTTAATTTGAAGCAGGTTTTGCTAGTTAAAACCAGTTTTTACTGAGGCACATAAGTTAAAACTGGTATAAAACGAGATTTACGGTTATGTTTCGCTTTGCAAGAGTGAAGACGACGGGGACGAAGCGCCGATGGGAATGTATTCTTATTGCAGTGAATTCGTGTAATGAGTGTTTTGCTTTTGCTACGTTATTGTTTATATTCCGATTTTTTGGGCAGTAATAGTGAATTAATTTGTGTTCTTAGTGTACTATACTACTAATTATTAATATGAGTGATATTGATGAAAACCAGTTGGAGACGAGAGATGTAAGAACATGGAAAGAGCGATTTTTGGAAAAGATTTTACAAAAAGAAGAGACCGAGAAGAATGAAAATCACTACAATGTTATGACAAGACACATGTACTATAAATTGATCGCCGAAGTACAATAAGCGGAATTGGCTGCAAAGAAAACACCAATACAAAATAGAAGAATGAAGCGGTTTAGAATTATTGAGGTTGGCGATACAAAAAAATTGTCTGCCAGAAATAGTCCAGGAAATAGAGACTGAAAATGGACCATTTCCTGCAAAACGAGAAGTAGTTACAATTTTTTTTGCATGTCATGAAAGACTATCTGGTGGTTAAGAATCCAAGTTTTCGACCTCGCACCCCCTGTGCTTCCCCCGCACCACCCTTAAAACCAAAGAAATTTCTTTGGTTTTTTAGTTTTTCAATCATACCTTTTTATAAGTTCATTTTACAAAAAAATATTGTTATCAGAAATTGGAGACTATAAAATTCTACACAACTTTGATATACACTACTTTTTTGTGAAATGTTTATTAACAGCGATATAGAGCTTCAGAGTTGCTTATATTTTTAAGAACTCTAAAATTTGTATGTAGATGTTTTAACCAAAATTTTATACTTTATCTCTATAATTAAGAGTTTTATGAGAAGATATCTTCAACTTATCGTGGCATAAATACCCTTACGCTGCACCCTTACCAAAGGGGATGCATAATAATTCAACTTTCAACCCTTGCTAGTGGGGATATTTGAATCACTGTGAGATTGTAGGGCTTTCTAATATACGTTTGAAACAAAAAATTATCTCACTTCAGTTCAGCTTCATCCTTCATGCCCTTCATCCTCCCCCCCCCTCCCCCCAACCGAGCTGAGAATAGATATTTAAGAGGAATAGAAAATATTATGTAATAAGCGTTGTATTCTCTGACTAACTTCACAATCGCCACAAGAGCGTTTAAATATCTATTTCTTCCGCGCAGGGGGGGGGGGGAAACTGAACTGAAGTGAGCCAATTTTTTCATTTCAAAAGTATATTAGAAAGGGCTATAATCTCACAGTAATTCAAATATCCTCACTAGCAAGGGTTGCAAATTTCATTATTATGCATCCCCTTTGGTAAGGGTGCAGGGTAGGGGGATTTATACCACGATAAATTCAAGATATTTTCTTATAAAACTCTTAATTATAGTGTAAAAGTATGAAATTTGATTAAAACACCTACATAGAAATTTCAGAATTCTTAAAAATATAACCCTCTCAAGCTCTATATCTTTTTTAATAAACATTTCACAAAAAAGTAGTGTATATCAAAGTTGTGTAGAATTTTATGGTTTACCACCACCAGATGACTGTCTATTAGGGTGGAACGTTGGTATAGGGCAAAAAATTGTTTTCAGTATCACCCATTCTAATAGTGATTAAAATTTGTCTTTTTATGTGAGAAGTTATTCTACAAAGATTTATTGTGATAGAACCACATCTTGAGGTGCCGCAAAGGCCATGAACATAATTTTTGGTCTTTAAATTTTGAAATTTTCTAGAATTTAATTTTTTATTTTGTTGATGGTTTTTTATGTTTATTTTTTCAATTGCATTCAAACAACGTCTAAAATAATGCAAAAAATTATTTTATAGGCCCACTTAGTAGGTATTAAAACATGAAAAATAAAGGTT